CACGCCGCCGTCTCCAGGCAACTTGGTCGTGGTTCACGTCTGTGACCCAGAGGACTTGCTCGCAGGACGCCCTGGCCGCTCACGTCCCGACGTCCTGCAGTGTCCGGGTGGCTGCCCTCGGCACAGAGGCTGCCTGGTTCCAGCCCCAGGAGAACCTCGTCCACACGTTTGAGAGATTTCGTGTGATCGGTAACTGCGTGGTCCTGCTTGACTGACTTACAGACTCCTTAGAAAGCTGTGCTGTGCGCAGATACCTTCTATCGTTGACACACGGAGTGCTCTGCAACTTCTGATCCTTTCTGTAACAGTGTATCGGACCTTGGCTCGAATCAAAATCCTGTCATACTGTTTCTTTGGAAAACCTATATCTAGGTTATGTTGATATCACATGAACTTTTGATACCTCTATTTCAGGAACAAAACGTAAGAAAAAAAGGAAACCTACACAGGACACCTGAACTGGGATTAAATCTCCCAGCAAATGTGAACTGGTAGAGTTAGGGTTAGGGTTAGGGGTTAGGGGTTAGGGGTTAGGGATAGGGACCCACCTCTTTGTCACCTCAATGGCTAGTAGGCTGGGACATTGAGACAGAGAGCATAATAATGTCTGTCCAAGGCCGTTCAGTACAATAGCACCAGGGTGTCCCAGTCCCATTCTGCGGAAGCCTTGCAAACCTCCCTCCCCCCACAGGCTCCGCCCCTCCCGCAGGCACCGGAGCGTGGGTCTGCTCTGAAGCTGCTTCTGTGCTCTGGGTCCTCCGGGGAGCCCTGGGGCCCAAACAAGTGGCCTCAACTTTGCCAGCCCCTTCCTGCGGCTTGGGCCCTGCTACTGTCCTCTTGGCTGAGAAGTCATAACCTGCTTCAGATCAGCCTTTGTGTCTAGCCCCGTGAAGCCACCTGAACTTGGCCCCGGCCTGAAGACACCTACTGTTGCGCCCCACCTACCAGACAGGCACAACTCAGATCATACGGAGGCTTCTGGAACCTGGAGACAGCTGGCTGCTGGCTGCCCTCCTGTGGGCTCAGCCTGGTCACTGACTTTTTCACACCTGATTTGCCTCCTTTTGAACATCCTGCCCCTGAGGCCATTAGCACTCAGAGCTGAGTCGATGTGAAGATGGGCCCAGAAGGTGTGACTCTTCTTTCCTTGGTGGGGGTTCCCGGGCTGGCTGCAGACAGCATCTCTGACCCGGAGCGGTGGGTGGCCATAAAAGCAACGGTGCTCGTAGATCCAAGAGTCATGTGGGGAGCACAGGTCCAGCTGCCGGAGAAGGCTGTTTGAGTGGGTCTCCAGAGGAGCAGCAGGCAGATTCCGAGAGCCACTGTGGAGAGGGCGAGGGGAGAAGGGAGGGAACAGGTCCCAGCACGGGCGTGGCCAGCCGGGGAGGTTCTCGCGGGTGACCGAGTGTGCGTGGAGGAAATCTGAGTGCATTCAAAGACTAAGAATTAGGCAGTTTCCAAAGGGTTTGCTGTTCCTTCTTGTTATATCTCTGCACTGTATACGGGGCTGTGGATGTTTTCTTCTGCTGGCAAAGAGCCCTGGCATTGCCTTCGTAAATGGGCTGGTTTTCGGGAACTTGGATTCAATGGATTCTGTGTTCCTCTCACATTTAATGCTGAAATAGTCAGCTGCTCTGATTTAGTTTAGGTTTAACAAAGCTAAAGAACATATATCCAGATCCACTGTGATATGCTCAATATAAAATTGGTTTTTGCAGTCGAATGCTCTGCCACTGAGCTACACCTCCTAAAATTGGTTTTCGTTCAGCTCTGAGTCCCACCACGAAGAAACCCTCTTTGCTCCTGAGTGAGCGGGGGCACCGGCTCCCAGGGGCGGCCGAATCGGAACCAGCAGGTCTCGGATGTGGTTCTGGATGTTGTTGCTGGAAGCTCAGAGTCCAGCCTCCTTCTCCAGCCCTCCCAGCCACTAAACCAGCCTCCCGTGGATTCCTCCGCAGCTAAGAGCGTCACCGAGGGAGCCGCCGGTGTCCCGGTGATTGCAGATCTCTGGGGACTCCCAGCCGTGACCCATGACGACACTTCCTATGGGAATGCTGAGGACATCCATGTGGTGACGTCTCACGGATTCTTGGGGTTGGTAATTCAGACTAGTGGCCATGAGGAAAAGGGGTCTGATGCCTTTCTATTTACGTTCCTTCTGATTTTCTTGTTTTCACAAGTGCTCTCACTGGGCTGGTTTTCTGCGGCCAAACACAGGGCAGGCACTCTTTACTGCATCGAGACACCCAGGGTGGCCTCCTCCTCACCGACGCTTGATGTCACCTCACTCTGCAGGCTCCCGCAGAGCGCGCTCTCCCAGCGCCCGGCCGCTACGCGCTGCGAGGGGCCCCGGGAGACTCAGCAGCCAGCCCGGGCCCAGCCTGCTTCCTTCAGCCCCCGCTCCTCCCACCATGTGGCTCTGAGGGGCTCCTGGGCCATGTGACACCAGCACTCTGAGAAGAACCTCTGGGGCCCTGGGCTGCAACTTGGAGCTGAGGAAGAGGCGCACGCGACGTGGTCCTCTGGGTGGCAACACTCCTGTGACAGCTGCCCTCTC